GGAGGGGCCCGTGTACACAAAAAAAAAAAAAAAAAAAAAAAAAAAGATTAATCTCAAACTTCTCTTTCCATAAATATGACAAGAAAAAGCTTTTGGCTCATACAATAACTATCATAATTGTAGTGACTTTAAAATAACCTGTTGTGTGTGGTACTTTCAGTCTCAGCTTCTGATCACAAAGATGAGAAGTTTAACCTATTTTCAACTCCTTTCTGATCTACCAAGAATTTTTAAGAGCCCCTAGTTCACTCTCTAGGTGCAAATATTTAGATTTCATTAGAAAAGTATTTTACATTCATCTCAGCATCCTTTGCAGCCCTTTTTTATTCTACCCAATTCTTAAATACTGATGTTTTCCACGGTTTCATCCTCTACGCTGTTCTAGTCTCATTTCTCATGGAGGATTCTCAAATTTCACAATGTCCTAGGAGTCCAGTTAAAAATAAGGATTCTGATGCCCTAACGCCAATTATTCTGATTCTGATTAATAGATGAGGGCCCATTAATCTTTACATTTCTGAACAATTACCCACTTGCTATTCCATTAAATCCTTTCACCCATTCACATTCTGTTCTTTCTTCTGAAAAACAAAAAACAAAAAAAACAAAACAAAACCCTTTTCCTTCTGGCTAACTGTATTATTCCCTGACTTTCAAGTCTGTTTAGTAGTGATTTGCTCTGGCAACACTTTCCTTCCAAATATCACTCCCCTTCCCCAAAGGCTATACTAAATTCCTGTTTAAAAACATTTCACTAGGGGCTTCCCTGGTGGCGCAGTGGTTGAGGGTCCGCCTGCCGATGCGGGGAACACGGGTTCGTGCCCCGGTCCGGAAGGATCCCGCATGCCGTGGAGCGGTTGGGCCCGTGAGCCGTGGCCACTGCACCTGCGCGTCTGGAGCCTATGCTCCGCAACGGGAGAAGCCACAGCAGTGAGACGCCCGCGTACCAAAAAAAAAAAAAAAAATTTCATTACACTGTATTGTGTGGATCTCCTTGCCTAAATAGGTTAGACTGTTAGTTGTGCGCTTTTCATGTCCGTGTATCTAACCTACCACAGAGCTGGCACAAAGCAGATATTTAGTAAATATTGTATGAATGAATTAATCCCTTCCAATGAGTATCTCCTTAACAAGAACCTTTTTTGTATTAACAAATATGGAAAAGCTTAGCACATTCAGTAAACAATATAATAAACCAGTCTTGAAGCCAAGTAGCTTACAGTCATTTTTATCAGTCCTTCCCAAGTTCATCAATGTATTCATGAGTACATATTTGATGTCTAAAGAAATGCAGGGCTACACTGAGTCACATTCCATTTTTATTATAATTCGTACTTTTTTTTTTTGCAAGCGAAGTTTTCCTCCTCCACACTAGGATTAGACCTGCACTGTCCAATCAGGTGGCCACTAGTCACAGGTGGCTATTTAAATTAATTAATATACAATTTAAAATTCAGCTCCTCACTGACGTAAGCCACATTTCAAGCGCTCAACAGTCATACGTGTCTAGTGGCTACAGTACCGGACAGTGCGGATACACAACATTTTCATCATCACGGGAAGCTCTATTGGACAGCGCTGGCGACACAATTATAAATGGATCGCACAAAACCTCACTTACTTCTTAGCTCCCACGATCCTCGTGCTCCTCTGCTGCTTAAAGGATGTGGGTCCCGGGGTCTAGCAAATTGCAAGCACATGAGTAAATGCTAGGGGCCTCTGAACCTTGACCACAAAAAGACGAATCCCCCTGTGCCAAGAAATGAAGCTCTCTCGGGGCTACTCCCTCAAACGGAAAAAGGCAAGACTTTTTACGAAAAATGTGCCGCCTTATCTTCCTACAGGGTCAAGGCAGGTGACAACGCTAGAGCCTTCATTCATCTCCCCCATTCTCAAAGCCCTGTCCTAGAAAGAAGCTCTAAAAGGGAGACAGAAAGCGAGGACAACGGATATGGGAGGCATTGGGAATGTAAAAAGAATAGAGACTAACGGCAACCTGACGAGGAACTGAGTCCAAGGGGGTGGGGATCGGGCAGCAGAAGTGGGGGGGAAAAACGAGGGGGCTGGTATATCTGATCTAGAAGGGTGGGGCCTGCGATGGGCTCTGATAAAACCAACTCTGAACAGGGGACAAAAGCGAGGGACCGCGTGTGGCGGGCTCGACAGCGCTACCCCTAAAGCGTAACGGTCAAACCGAGAAACTCACGGCGGGCACTGCACCGAGTCTGGAAGACATCACTCCCTCTCCACGCCTAACAAATTCACCCAAGGGCTCCGGCCAGATCAACGCCACTTCCGCTCTCCTCTCCGCTCCCGGATGTGGAGTCGGCGCGCCGCGAGCCCCGTGCCTAACGTCTACTTCCGCCTCTCAGCTTCCGAGGGGGCTGCGGCAGGGCGAGTCAGGTGACCAGTCTTCCTCCCGACACCCCCGCCCCACACATACTTCCTCTGAGACCCCGCCCCGGCAGTGTGCTTTGGGACCCGGGAAACTGGGGCTTGGGGGTTGGAGCCTCTGCTTGGCCTCGGAGTCCGTCCGTCTCGTTCCTTCCGTTTGCACTACCTCTCCTGCCCCTCCACGCCCCCATGCTCCAACGGGCGCGACGAGTGGTCTAAGTGCACAGGAAGGTCAATTATTACCCGTTTATTTATCTTAGGGAAATGACAGAGCCATTCCCGCCTTCCCTCCCTCCCTCCCTCCCCTCAGGTAGAGAGAAGTAGAAACTCTTTTATTGCTGAGGGCGCAGAAAGTGGAAGCCAGTGGCTGAGCAGGAAAGAAACCAGGAAAAGGCAGCTTGGTGGAGACTTGAGCGAGGCAATGAATAACTGGGGCGGGTCTCTTCCCATCTTCTAGCGTCAGACCTCCAAACTTGCCCTCCCTTGGGGATTTTTGGTGTGGTCTTTAGGAGACATGTTTGAGTTACTCCTGAAATCTTTATCTAAACTATATCTGGGCTTCTCCCTAGGTGAGCTGTGCTTGAGTCTCTCCTTGAGGGGACTTTGGTGGCTCCTCTCAGAGGGACTGTGTCCACTCTTCAGAATGACTGTGTCTGCCCCTTTCAGAGGGCCTGTACGGTCTTCTCTCAGAAGCGCTGTGTCCTCTTCTCTCAGAGGGACTGTGGCATGTCCTCTCAGGGGGACTGCGACATCTCTCAGAGGCCCTGTGGTGGCTCCTCTCAGAGGGACTATATTGGCTACTTCCAGAAGAATTCCATGGGGTTCTTTCC